GAAGTCCAGGAAGCTATTCTCTGGAGTTTGGATATTCAGGCATAAACCAACTAAGGAATATCATCAGTAAGTCAAAGTTCTTCTAAACGACAGTCCGTTTTGTTCTGTATTTTCTTTTTTTTTTGATTCTAAAAAATTTTTATTTGAACACCATTTGAAGCATGTCCCCCTCTGAAGACTCAGTAAATGAACTCCTCTATTTCAAAAAGACAGTGGATGCATTGAAGGTCAGGTAGACGGAGAGAGGGAGAGGTGGATGGATAAACAGGTAGATAAACATCTATAGCCGTAAGTAGCGACAGATGACAGATGACTCTGTCCGTTCTATTGAAGATGCGCCTTAACCCACTACATTGCATGTTGTACACCCAGTGGAACCACAGACAGGGTCGAAGGACACAGTGGACACACTGGAGGAACCAAGGGCAGGAGAGCGTTGCTTCTAGTTCCCCTGGGAGAGGAAATGCACAGCGTAATCGGAGGCTTTTGTCTTTAAACAAAACAAAACCAATAAACCTCTTCCGTCAAGCTACTTTTACCTAAGTAATATTTGCACCAACTGCTGCTAAGCAGCACCCTGCATTGGGCCTGACACATGGCATCACAGAGCCAAGGATGTTTCTAGAGAAACAGGCAGAGCAAGAGACAGTAGAGGCCATGATCCCTGCCTGTGGGAGAGAAAGGACTTCCTACTGACCCACAGAATGTCAGTCACAAAATGGTACTTCACTCAGCAAACTAAACCTGGGAACAAGAGGCACTTCAGTACGTTACATGTTTTAACTCCGTGATGAGTAAACTAGTGGTTTCTAAGAATTTTTTAAATTACCAAGTAACGGTCACCCACACTTAATAGCATTTCTTTATAATATCTAAACTGAAATAAGACAGCAGATTTTTTGGAGACAAAACAGGTCAGTGTTTAAAAGTTCAAGAGAAGAAGAACTAAACCCCCCAGAACCTTCTTCTATAGGGCGCTCAGGAGGCAGCACCAGGCCTGCCATCCTACTGCACGCAGCCTGGGCTGCCCAGCCCGTAATCTGTTCACATGTTCTTTAATAGGAAAAGTTTAACTTCTGGGTTACACAGAGTCATGTGGCTTTGGAAGATGCACCTGGTGCTCTGCCACATTTTCAAGTCGAGCAGCATCTGTCACATTCAGGGGGAAGGCGACAGGTCATGAAAGACAGTGACCGAAGCCAGCTTCACTCTGTGGAGACATCAGGTCATTTCGCTATCACTGGACAGCATGAAAGATGCTCATGTCCAGGTTCAGCAGATATGGACATGTCCAAGGTAAGGCAAACAAACACCACCAGGAGCCACTATGCATGTGGTTTCCAGCGTGACTCTCAGGCACTCTACGGACTTCTAGAATGAGGGAGGGTTGGGTGACTTAATGGTGTGCTAGCAGAGGGTCGTTAGGCCCAGCAAACCCTAAACTAAAGGCTAGACAAGCATAACAGGGCTCCTCTGCTCACTCCGCCTCCTCCACCGCGTCCGTCAGCTGGCCCTTGCTGTGTCGCCGAATGCTGACCAACGTCCCCGCCGACCGGAGACTCCAGCAGGAGCTGCTGGCTGAACTGGACAGGCTGGTGTACTTGGTAGAGCCCTTGCTGTCACCGTCCCAGCCAGGCCAGGGTGAGTGGCTACTCCTCAAGTCAGGGTGAGCAGCGTCCACATGGGCCACCACATCTTCAGAACTGAGTTGGGGGGTTCCCAGCCTTCCATCTCATCTGGTTTTCGAGACTGGTTGTTCTGTTTTAAAACCAAACTGTCCCCAAATCCAGATTTCTTCTCTGCCTTCAACTCTTCTTTAAGTCGTAAGTTGGTTACTTTGGACTTGGGAGATTTGCATCTCTCGAGCAGATGTTCTTTGTCGTCTTTACTAAACAGAGAAGTTCCTTCCTTCCAGCCTTGGAAACCTGCGGCCCTGAACCTGCACCGGGGCGCTGGCGGTCGCGCGCGCCGTCCTCCTCCTCTGGGGGCTCTTCCAGAAGCACCCGGCTCCAGCTGGCTCAGCTTTCACATAGCGGCGGGCCCAGGGGACCGCGCGTCCTCCGGCCCACGCCAGCTGCTGACCTCCGATGGACGCCGGCCAGCGAGGCCGGCCCGCGGAACTCCCCAGGGGCTGCGAAGCGAGCGGGGCGGGCACGGAGGCCCGCTCCTCCATAACCCCGTCCTCGCCTCCGTTTTGTTCCGTATTTTCATGTAGAGCATTCTTTGTTCAATTCATGATGATTTGTTGCATCTAAGACCATACTAAAATACTTTCACATCCATTTCCACGCAGGCTATCAGTCCACTTTCATTGCTGGTAACATGGTCCAACAGACTGGGTGAAATATAAGGAAAAGAGGTGTAATTTGACTCATGAGCCATGTAGGTCCAAGGTCAAAAGGAAAAATCTGTTGATGGCCTTTTTGCAGCACTCTTGAAGTGGCATAGAACATGTGAGGGTTTGCATCTTTTCTAGCCTCACTTCCTCTTGTCATAGACTTACCAGGATTCAGTCAAATGACTGTATCAATCCTAACTGCTCCCCCAAGGTCCCACCTAAAAATTCCATAGCCAGCCTCAGCTTCCTCCTCTTACATGTTTCCTCATCTTACAATGGGGATTAAATCTAAGCATGATATGGGAATTATTAAATAATAAAGTATAGTACATTTTTAATTCTACACACACACACCTACTCATAACCTTCCTCTCTTAATCTCTTTCTCTCACTCACAAACAAAACACCCTCATGTACATTCCTATACAGCTTTCTTTGTGTTGTCCTTCAGACCATCCCATTTTCTCTCCTCCAATACGTACTTACCATGGACTGAATTCCTTCAACGTATTTTTTATTGCTTTCTAGGCAAAAGCTGTAGACTATCTTAGCAAACATTTATTGATGTATCCTAATTATCTTAAATTTACTCATTTGTTCTTTCCACCTTTGTTATTATGGCTTCAAAGACATTTGCCTTTCTCCTCTGCTTCGCCTTTTCTCGTCATTAATAACAGAGCATATTCCTGCTCACCTCATCATTGCTCAACAACCAGAATTTGCATAATAAGTAAATAAATGGCATAGTAGAAGTAAATAGATGCTAAAACATAAGAGTTTCACAAAAGCATCCTAATGACATTCAAGCATCTTTCACATCAGGAATGGCCATTGCCCCATATATCTCAGCATCTGGACCACAATGTTGTGGGTTTGTTTTCGTTGCTTCCTGAGTATTTACCCCTAGGAAGCCTTGCCCTAACCAATTATTTATCCCCAATTTTAGTTTACATCAATTCAAGAGAGACTGAATTCTATAATTACTTTTCCATAATGAGGAACATTTTCTATATTTTTGATCCCAGTTGCAAGAATAACACTTCCTTATTTGGAATCACTGACAAATTATACTCCAGTAATAAACTGCTATTCTAGGCCATAAATGAAAATACTTTGTTGGGTAGATAAGTTGGGAAATAAAGAATGAAGTACATGTCCCAGTGGAAGTATTGTTTAAGCACTTATACAGTGCTAAATATATAGGAAGTGTGGGAACTAAAATGGACACACTATTCCCACACTTCCGCCAGTTAGAAAACTAGAGGTGATAGTTCTCCTTTTAGCATTTCTTTTCATGTAGCCCCAAGCTGTCAGCTTGTGGTTTGTTCTTACTGCTATTTATGGCTATCCGTGTAATCTTTGGTCACATGCTAATGTGCACAGGTGAGCAAAGGTCTCCAAATGCAAGGTCTGTAATTACAAGATACAATGTTTCCAAGATTAACATGCTATGGTGCTGTGCTGACTTTATTAGTTGTACTCCAACAAGAATTATTAAAATGCCTTCACATGATTTTGTTAGAAAGGGACATTAGATAAAAGGATTGAGTTAAAAACACACAGGAAATATCCTTCAACTATAGCTATGCTCTTTATTTTTTATGTGTCCTCTTTTCCAACAATAGAACAGTTGGACAAAGAGAGTTTGAACTAAATCTACTTTCATTGATCTCTTATCTATTTGGTTAAAAAATAAGAATAGAAACAGAGGTTAGCAATGGAAAATAATGCTTCTTAAGTTTCATTTTGCTACTGATATGATGTAATTGTGTCTACAAAGATCACATAGATTTGCAACATAGGTCTCAAAGATGTCCTTACATCCTTTGAGATCTAAAACAAATAAACTTTAAAAACTCAAATTAAAACTCGAATCACAGATTTAGTATAATAATTCAAATGTAATCAAGTACTGTGTGTTTTACAATTCATGATACTTTGTGAGGATAGAAATGTTGGTTAAATACCTGGTGAATTATAGCAAAAACAGTGGGGAAAATGTCAAGGTAATTATAGATATTAACATAAAGCATAGTTTCCCTTGTGTGTTTTGGTACATTGCTTTTAAACATCCATCATGAAAGCAGTAATTGTAGAGCAGTCTAAAGTTACAAGCCATTCTATGGAAAATGTGGGCAGTCTCTATAGTACCTGGTATAGAAAAAGTCTTTCAAGATCAATTAAACTAATTGTAGCTAACTGTAGTAACCACAGCAAAGCATGGTCCAATGAGCACCATTGCACTACTGCATTACCGGACGCTTGCTAGAAGTGCAGAATCTTGGGACCCATCATGTATGACTGCATCAAAATCTGCACATTAACAACAGCCTTAAGCAAATTCCTCTGTACATGAGCCATTGATCAGTATGGGACTCTATATATCTAGAACATGGTCTGGCTCTGAATACAATTTTGACTTTGATAGATTCTTTTCCAGGGTACTTTAGGCCTTCTCGAGTATTTACTTGCATACTCTCAAGCCAAGTCATATGATCTAGAACTTCCTCTATCTGTCACCTGTCCTTCAAATCATCCACTCATTTTCTCCTTCATCTGGGATGTTAATCAATGCATCTGTTTGCTTGGCATAAGCAAAGACAGCTACACCAGTGTAGCTACCAGTAATTCTATTTTCTGAATTGTTCTTTATAACTTTGAAATGGGTCAAATGCTGGGATCTTGAGTCTTTCTTTGGTCCTCTGAGACAGATGTTTTGGTATATATCCATTCCCTTCACTACACTATTTCAAATTTTGCTGTGGATTTGCATAGATATCATTCTTATTTAAAACAAAGCATAAAAACAACACAAGGCATTATTTATCCAACTCATAAAAGTTATAGAAACGTTTTCACTTTTTTCTGTATTTGGTCACAGTATTTTCATTATGTGACCAACAGGTCCATAGCATTAATGAGACCCTTGCATAGAAAAATACATGAGCAGAGGCTGCAGAATGGTTCCACATTATAGGCAAGAATAGGACAAAGGTTGATGTGTTCATTAGCTCTGTGAAGGTTTTGCCTGGAAATTCCAACAGCAACTTTTATATCAGATGTGACAAGACAAACACATTATAGTTCTATCAGTCATTCATTTTTGTACCACGGAGACCCATTTCTGAGCACATAACATATCAGTCTAGTCTACAATTGGCTCTGTAGGGTCTAACAGAAAGGGAAGCTTATCAAAAGTGTATAATGAATTCATGAATGCTTATTAAATCTTCATCTTTCAACACCCAAATGGATCTAAGAATTTATAAGTCTAGAAAAAGAAATGCTTATTCTCCATCCTTCTAAGTACTTTTTAATCTTTAAAATATTTACAGTAATATCCTACTTTGATATGAGCAAGTTCATTGAAAATAACTGAAAGCTATTCATGCTTCCTCTTCTCTTTTGGAAGGGGACTTGGCAGAAAGGTATAGGGACTCATCTCAATGTGATAATTCAGAGGCTGAGAAAGGAAGCAGCTCCTTTTCCCCCCTGTAGAACACGACATTGGTTTAGGACAAGCCTGTCAAACATTACTCAGCTTCCATTGTGGGTTTATCTAGCAGATTGCAGATTCTCCAATTACATATGAAACTTCAAGTCACAAAATATATTTTCAGCTTTCTAGGCATGGGCAGATGTGAAAATAAAACATTCACAAGAAATCTTTGCATAGTTAAGTTATAGCAACCAAATAACTATAGAGATTTCTCAGGTCCATGTATTTAATAGTCTGACAAATGTATTTAATGTCAATTTCTTATAAAATTAACTTTTAGAAGCACTATAATAGAAATAGGATACCCCAAAAGATTAAGAAGTACATGCACTTCACATTCCTATTCACCAATTCAGTACTCCTGACAATAAGACCAAGGATTGCTGAAATCCTATTATCATTATACTGAACATATCCAATCAGAGCCCAAACTATGTTCCCCTCCATTTTTTTTTTGGTCGGTCATGGGGCTTGAACTCTGGGCCTAGGCACTGTCCCTCAGCTCTTCAGCTCAAGGCAAGCGCTCTGCCACTCTACAGTGCCACTTCCAGTTTTCTGGTGGTTTATTGGAGATACGAGTCTCATGGTCTTTCCTGCCGGGGCTGGCTTTGAATTGCGATCCTTAGATCTCAGCCTCCTGAGTAGCTAGGATTACAGGTGTGAGCCACCGGTGCCCAGCATCCCCTCCATTTTGTAATGATTTGATAACTATGAAAATAGGTTGATAAATAATATTACACAATTTTTTGCTGAGAAAAAATAAAAGATGTTTCGATGAGGTGTTTTTTTTGTTTGTTGGTTGGTTGGTTTTTATCAGTACTGGGGCTCAAACTCAGCACCTAGACATTGTCACTTAACATTAGTGTTCAGTCTACCACTTCTGGCTTTTTAATGGCTAATTTGACATAAAAGTCTCATGGACTTTCATGCCCAGGCTGGCTTTGAACTGTAATTCTCAGACCTCAACCTCCTGAATAGTTATGACTATAGGCCAATGCTGCTCGGCAGACACTGTTGTTTCTGACATACTATCTGAACTACATAAAAATATAAAGTTCAAAATCACTACAAATACCATGAACATTTATAAATACCCCCAAATTTGTATTGTGCAAATCTGATAACCCTTCAGTTTCTAATGTCTTCTTTATGCAAACGTTGAAGTAATCAGGGCAAGGGATACAGTCTTACATGATACCTGTATACTGATAGACTGGAAAACACTGAGACCAAAAAAAATTCTTTTGGCTCTTATTAGCAATGAGAGAGATGTCTTCCATGAATTTGATAGGGAGGTAGAATGATTGTAGTTTATAGAAAAGAAATTGCTGTCTCA